AAGGATGAAGAATAAGAAAAAGAAAAAAAACAAAAACATGTAGGGTAAAATACTCATCCCTTTTAATTTTAATCGAAATTTTAGACAACTTTATTAGTTTTTGAAATGTATATTCCATTTAAAAAAAAATCTTTTATTAAATATATAAGTTTAGTTATTAGTCAATTATTGATGTTTTTATTAATTTGATAATATGATAATATTAAAATGATAATTTTACTTTTTATTAATTTTTTTAAAAAAATGAAGGGAGTTGGAAGTAGTAATCATACTCTCAAATTGTTTTTAAAAATATATATAATAATAATTTTTAAATTAATAAAAAAAGATATTTTATTTTTATATTTTTTATTAATGATATTTATAATTTGTTTGTGAATTATTTATTTTGAAAATTAATGAATTCCTGTAAAATTATGATCAAAAATTAAATATTAGAGTATTTTACCCAAATATGTATGCATGTTGTGAATAATAAGATGTTCTATGGTTTTCATTAAATAGTTGCTAATATACTGCTCATTTTACATGTCAAATTATCTTCCTGAAATTTTTTAAAAAATGAAAAATATGCATAGTTTATAACATTGAATTTAATTCAAATATTGATTTTTAACCCACATTTTAATTTTTCAAAACTTAAATATAATCCCTCAAATGAAAAAATAACAAAATTATATTAATGCAATTAAGTACCCGGATTTATAAAATTTTGTCATTGCGGTTTTCTTAAATCTCAAGTGTCAATTTTATCTTTGAAATAATTTAATTTAATCCTGCTAAAAAGTCTTTCTAAAGTACCCTAATCTAAGCAGTGCCTTTAATTAAGACCCTGACCAATAGTTGTTACTTACTAAAATACAACATTAAGTGTCTAAAACAACTTTTTATTGAAAATTTTTTTCTATTAACAATATTGTCTTAAGTGGTAGCATATTTTGAGTACTTTTATTAACATATCTATTATTAGTTAAAATTCCTGAAATATTTTATATAGCTTTAAATTTTGTTCAGCATGTGAAAAATATAAAAAAACAAATATATAAAAATGTAAAAAAAGAAAAAAAACTTATTTATCATTTTCATATAATTAGTATTTTATAGCAACACATATTCTTTAATTATTTTTAAAATAATAATCATAGTGTACATAAAGTTACATTTTTTTATCTGTTTGGAAATAATAATTACATACTAAACAAAGAGTTACATGTTGAAATAATAATTAAAATTAATTAATTATGTATTAATGAAAATTAGCATTAGTAATAATGCATAAATTTTGTGTCGCGTGCAAAGTATGTATTAGATTAATGTAAAATTTATTACATTTAACCATAATGTAAAATTAAGATTCTGAAAATTATGTAATTCAAAATAAATTTTGACATTTTTTTATTAAATAAATTTATTCAATAAAATTAGAAATTTATTCTAAAAATTAAATAAATATTATTCTTTGGATAACTAAGGAGGATAATAATAATAGCATTAAAATTTACTTAATATAACATTAAAAGAATTTAATATATAAGGAAATAATCAACAAAATACAACTTTCAAAAAAATAATTTTTTTTTAGTTTTACAATTTGTCCTTAATGAAAATTTATAATAATATTTTATTTATTTAGTTACAATTTAATCTTTTCACTAGTGACATTGCATTTTATTTTCCCTCTCTTACTAATCAAAACCTTTTAAAAAATGATATAAGTAATTCAAATTGTTGGATGATACAATAAATTACTTTCTTAATGAGACCATTTTTGCACCATCAAATAACTATCTATGGTAAAGGTGAAATTTGTTTATCACTTTTATTGAATTTTGTTTTTATTAATTTTTGAATGAAAAATAACAAAATTAAAATATTTCACAAAATACTTGATTAATGGCAGGTGGTAAAGTTTGATCGATTCTATTATTTTATATCCACAAGTAATAAAATTGAAAGTGTCAAATGACAAAATTAAATGTTAGCCTATAATATAATGACAAATTTAACATTAATCTCGAAATTTAACATAAAATTAAACAAAACTCACAATATGATATAATATAAAATAAGAACAAAATTAGAACTTATAAGTGTGATGAAAATCAAATGAAAAGCGAGAATTTTTATAAGAATGATTTATAAATTTATCTTAATTCATGAGTTAAAATTATACTTTTGGTCAAAAAAAAATAAAAGTTGTGAAGTTAAATGGTAAAATAGAAGATAAAAACTATTTTTACATTTTTTTAATTTTTCAATTAATTTTAGGAACTTTTTATTATAATATACACAAAAACGTTTGGATAGTAATCCAAAAACTAAAAAAATGAAAATTAATTTAAAAAGTTGTGCAAATTATATTTTAAAGATCTACCTTTTTTTTTTTTTTTCAAATCGCATTCTTTCGATTTCTAATTATTTGCTCCTTTTCTTTTTTTTTTTTCTTTGCCGGCATCAACCTAGAGAACTACAAAGCGGCCGCCTTCAACCGACCCGCCAAACCGAGCCAAAAATCTCAAAGCGCGGGACAATCGTTAAGCTTTCTGGCCTATATTCAATCGATCCAGTGCTGAAATACATACAAAAAATGGGTCACAACAAGCCCCGGCGGTTTAAAACGCATCACTCTCATCGGGGTCAGTCAAGCCGAACCCATCAATTCCAAATGTAATTTTTTAAGACTCCCTTAATTTTCCGTTTCACGTTTAAACCATTTCAACTTTCAAATCCCTACTACTAAGTCTCTCTCTCTCTCTCACTCACTCTTTTTTTTTTTTTAATTTTGCTGTAATATTCCAGGGAAGATGATTCTCTCCCACCTGATCAGCGTACTAATTCTGTAACCACATTTTAATTAGTTCTGTACTTTTGTTTCTTCCTTCAATTTCCGTTTGGGTATATAGGTGTTTGGTATTTTGCCGCAGTGGTAATTCTTTTTTCTTTTTCGTTTTGATTGCAGCTCCTGAAGAGGACCCAAATGTTCCTAAAATTCAACTTGCCATGTGGGTATGTAGTTTTCTTCTACTACCTACTTCCTTTTTTCTTAATATGTTTGTTTTTGCTCTTTTTTTTTTTGTCTCACATCTAGAAGGCACATTTGTATGCTTTACTTTAATATTACACCAAAGCAGCTGTTATTGAAATATTTAGGTGTTGTTAGAATTTGTGCTAGGAAATTTCTTATTAATCAAATGCTGGATGACTTTTGTCCCCTTAAAAAGTGGTTTATAGTGGGTAAATGATTTAAAAATTATTCTAAATTCATGCATGTCCTATACTTTTATCATGTTGCATATCATATGCTTCTGATGCGACTCTGACTCTGCTGCTGGAATTGGTGGCAATCAAAATGCTAATTGCTAAGCAATGTCTAGTTATTGTCTTGATGAGTATCAGTTTTAATTTTTAACCAGTCTAGGGTTTTTCTTATTATCATGGATAAATTGATGGTGTTGGCTTTTCCTTTCCTTTAGTTTTCTTCTCCTTTTTAATGGTTGTTTGTATCAATTACTGTAACTGATTTAATGTTGTTGACTCAGGATTTTGGACAGTGTGATGCAAAAAGGTGCACTGGGCGTAAACTTGCGAGATTCGGGATGTTGAAAGAAAGTATCTGCTATAAATAATTCCCTTCAAATTTAATTTGGTTATGCATGTTTGGGTTTGTCTTATTTATTTCATGTAAAACGTGATTTTCCCTCTGTAGACATTGTCATGCAAGAATGGTTTTGTAGTTGTTTTGCATAAGAAATTTGTCACAGTGTTGGATTCGAGATAAAGTTGTATCATAACTAACGTCGGAGTAAGCAAGAGTGGGATAAGTTAAGAGATTATTAGTGTGAAATTGGGTGATCAATTAGTCGGCCAATGGGTGTTTGATGGCATTTTTATAAAATCTATTTTGAGCAATAAGATTTGCAAACTTGCTCTACAAAAAGGAAGAAGAGGACATTTCCTAGAAAATTGCTGAGGGCTTTTAGGAAGTGAAAAAAGGAAAATCAACATAGAATAGCGGAAACAAACTGATTCTTGGTCCAGAGATTAATATTACTGTTTAGCTAAGGCATCAGCCTTCTTATAGCTGATCCAGAAAGTTGCTGCCCTTATAAGTTACTGTTAACTGATGCTTTAGGAAAATGAAATTTCAACTTTCACTTTTGGGGACTTGGAAATTGGTTCAAATATTCTCAAACTGTGGTCTGGCTATTTGTTCATTTTAGAATCTAGTGGCATGGCTGGCGCTAATAAGTAATCTCAATGATTTGCTGATGATCAATTTAGAGAATAGTAACAATTACTAAGTAAGATCAATTAATTAATTCATTCATGTTTGACTACAAGGACGTCTTCACTTTTCACTAATCTGGAGTTTGAATGATTTCATGCAGGACTTGCGTGTGAATAGTGGTTTTGGGGGCATTGTTTTAAGGTACTTACAACAACTTTTCAAATTTGCTTTTACTAAGTTTATGGTGTATCTCATCACCTCAAACAATATCACCTAATAGTGTGCAATTTGGAGGTCTATATCTTCTCTATACACCATGACCAACTTGGCGATCTGGTATATAATGGATGAGAGCACATATTCTTTTCTTTCTACTGGATTGATACTCATCTTTTACATGGTTCTCATCAATGTATGCTGTTGTCCATGATCCCCTGCTAGGTTATTGACTGATCCTTATCAGCTTCTCATGGACATATTTGAGCCAAAGAACATATGTTGTTGATGGTAGGGGCATCTGTTTGGCTTTATTTTGTGGTGAAAATGCATGATCAGTAAGGAGTTGAGCTTGTAGAAAACCTCATAATTTTTATGGGGCTGACTGCTAGAGAACCTGTTGTTCTTCTGTACTAATATCTTCGTCATGGCTAACATGAGAGTAGTGCATGCGTCTAAGAATGCACCTGATTAATGTTGGAAAGCAAGCTGCCAGAACCTCTTCTATTACTTTTACCAAACAATTTTTGCAAGCTTCTGTCTTCTGCCTTTGCATGCTTTGCTTTAATTTCCATATTTCTTATTATCTGCTTTAACCTCTGTCGGCAGTCCTGTTGGTAGTCAATGTGTCTCAAAAGAAGATTACGACTTAATGAAGAGGAAAGGATTAGCTGTTGTGGATTGCTCATGGGCACGCCTGAGTGATGTACCCTTCGTGAAGCTGCGGTGTGGTGCTCCTCGCTTGTGTATGAATATAAACTTTTCAATTGGTTGCTATGTGACTCATGCTGCATCTTGTCTAACATACAGATTTTGGCATTTTTTCCTTGCTTAACAATCTATGAGTACTTGTTTTTACCTCATATACTGATATCCTGTAGATTACTGCTAGTACACGCAATTGTTATCCACAAGGGTTGGAGATCTATATGATGTCTTCAGGGGCTGAATTTATCACATTTGTGTCTTAACAGTTAACATGGTGCAAACCTTTCCTTAAATCTCATTGAGTAATAGTGAAAGCCTTGTCAATGATTTCATCACCAAGAAGTCCCCATTGATCTATTCTTATCATGTCACGCCAACAAGCCAGGAGTTCTTTCTTGATTGAATTTTTTTCATTGAATTGTATGAATCAAATAGATTGCCTTGGTTGTATGACATAAATGCAAGTTGATGTCACTGTTCTTGCACTGTTGTGGAATTGCAGTCCATGAGGTGTTTGATGATGTTTTGATATCGATAATATCAGAGCTTTGTAGTAGTAGCATTTTTCAGCAAAGTGAGATATATGTTTTATGTTGCAATTTGATTTTTATTATTTTTGACACGGATGAGTTGCTTTTACTTTATAAAGTGTTTATTATGTATTTGATGTCTTATTACAGTATTATTTGTATATGAAATCAATTACTTTTCACTTGCATAACTTTTGATGACAAAATTTAAATGACACCTTGAATTAATAATGGTTTTTCCTGTACTTATTAGTGCAAATTTTTACTATTTACTTTAGTGGCCTTCATACATTAAACTAAATGAAAATGCTTCATATTTTATTGGTGTTCCATTGTTTTCAGCTGTCCTGTTTTATGAATTTGATGAGTGTCATGGAATTGCAGTGCCGTGGCTAGTGGCTGCAAACCCAGTAAATTATGGTCGACCATGTCAGCTATCATGTGTAGAAGCTTTATCTGCAGCTTTACTGATATGGTAGTTCTTCTTTTTAACCACCATATTCGGCAGTTTCCACCGTCTAGTACTTGTCTTGTCAACCTGAGAACATGTTTTTAACCATTTTAGTTTTTTTACATGTGCATGCTTTAACAGCTATGAGCTCTGGTTCTGTTTTAGAATGGTGAATATTGTAATTTGAATCTGTTGGGAAGGATGTGCCATAGAATAATATGCTAGCTGTAATGAGTATGAATCCTATTTTATATAATCAACATTTGGAGCTTATTCTATGACCTAAATGTAATTGTGCATGTGCCATAGATGTTCCATGGACGGGAGGGGGGACATCTGTTAGATATTGTGGCAATTTGGTTTGTAGCAGTCATGCTGCTTTCTAAGTACAGAATGTCAAAGGAGCTTTGGCATCATCGTCAAATTTTGGCATTTTATAAAATTAAGGACACATCCTATACATATAGTTTTGGCATTGTTGCCAAACTTGAGTAAGATTGGTCCAACATACTTTGGTCTTTCCGAGATGCATTTTGGGAAGCTAATATGTCACTGAGTGTCAGATATGTTCATCAATAAAATTTTCTGAATTTGTGTTCCTTTCTTTTGTTTTTAACAGTGGGGAAGAGGAAACTGCAAATTTGTTGTTAGGCAAATTCAAATGGGGTCATGCCTTCCTGTCCCTCAACAGGTACTTTATTATTAATTTTTTGGCCCAAAAAGTTTTAAATTTCTCAAAATGCATGATCCATGTACAAGATGGAAAACATCAATTGAAACTCGAATTCTGCTGAAAAGATATTACAAGTCTAAACTTGAAGATGAATTAGCGGTCACTTATATGTTTGCTTTCCAAAGGTATTGCAAGGGGAATTGCTGCTCTGGAATTCAATTTTAAATTCTCATTTCTCCGTATCAGAGTTGACTGATGTCTATATGAGATCTCTCAAAAGCCTGATTCAATGCCCATCCAACTGAATGGAGCCAAAATAGACAAAGTCCTCTGCTCTATTTCTCACTAAAGAAAGTAACTTAAAACTTAAGCAATTGTCCTCCCTCAACTACTCTATGAATCCATTTAATCACAATCTCCGTAGGCGTAATAGAAAACAAGCTACAACCTAGCCATGATTTTGGCTTACTTTGTTTATTTATGTAATAATTTGTTTTAATCTATTATGCCCAAAATTGCATGAATCTATGGCCTCTATTTATTAACGCTACGTGGTCATGTCGAAGTCCCCCTGAAACACAAGCATACAATAGTGCATGTGATCAATTGTTTTCATTTTTTTTTCTCATGGAGTTAAGAGAGAAGGTTTTTCATGCTTTCGATTTCCATCTATTGTGTCTGGTATCCACTGCTTGGGTCTCAAGTTCATGGGAATGTGGTTTTATTTTGATCTCTGGTTAGCTAGTGGGCAAGGCTACAAATTTATGTGAGCTTGGAATGTATTTCAGAGCTTTGAAGAATTATCAGAAAATAAGGCCCAACTACATCCTTTTAAGTCAAGAAGTTACCGAACAATAACTGCGGTTACTTAGAAAATTATTCTAGAAAGCATCCATATCATGTACTTACTGCAAAGAATATAACACATATCGATTTCCAGCAACATTGTTTACAATAGAATTATGACCTTCTTCTTGACATATGTTTTCAAATTGTTGTCATATTTGATTGGTGCAGGGAACTTTTGAAGGCATATTCTGAATGTGAAAATAGTGGTGATATCATTTCAGTCCAAAATTCTTGGCTTTCCCAACAAAGTCAGGTTCCAAAGGTTCTGCCAGATGCAGAAGGTAAATTTACTTTTGCAGTTGTCAAGCCAAAAAAAAAATGAAAATTTCCATATAACCTTTGAGCAACATCTGCAAATTTTTGTGAAACTGAGAATAGGAGTATAGGATGATGATTATGACAACAACAATCTAACGCTCTTTCCTACCATATGCGGCTGGTTACAGTGGGTCATATTATGCCAATGTGCTATGCTTAGGAACATAAATTGAGCAAGTTGAGTAAAAGCAAGGTCTTTTTTGATAGTTTCCACCTATGTCTGCTTTGGTCTTCAACTCCACCTTTTGGCACATACATTCTGCATTTATTCATATTTTAGGGCATTTCTAGACCTTCTCACATTTTGAGACCACCAGAGGTGTCAAGTTCTCATTTTGTCATCAGCCCATGCTATGCCAATTTTTTGGCAGAAATGATGTCAATTCTGATCTTTGGCTTACACCAGCTGAAATACCAGTACTTTCTTGCTGCTGTTTCAAATGAAAGCTGCATATCCTTTTTATCCCCACCTCGCTCAAACTGACACACACACAATCTTGCCATCTCTAATTTGCTTTTTATTCTTCAGAAAGTCTTATCTGCTGTTCTGTTTAGTTTGAAAGCATCTTCATTGTTACCTGACCTGGAACTTTTTTGTTCTTCTGTGGCCTGATACCTGATATGGATTTAATTACTTTCAATTTTATTAAAACAAGAAGACAATCAACACATTGATGATTTTCACAAGTGGTAATAACAGCCTTATAAGTCCAGAATACAATCTAAGTTACTATTTAATCTACACAGCAATGATGGCAATGAATCTATTTGTTCCTTTTAAGAGTGACCTGATGATACTTTTGACTTCTGATGCCATATGAGCAGACGTCAGTGAAGATGAGCGTTCTTCCAATGATTCTGAAGATGGGCTTCCTCCTCTTGAAAGGAATATGAACCATTTGAGTTTGCAGGAAAGTGATGATGAAAGTGAGTAGGTAGGATCCTGCAATAATTTCAATCACATGAGGAGATGCGATGAAGCAAGGGGCAACAACAATGGAATGTGGAGTCACAAGTAAGCACTAGGAGAGAATGCCATCTTGATAACTTTATTTTCATGTAACATACTGCTTATGCCTTAAATATTAGTAAGTTTTAGATTTACTTGAGTCCATTGTACGAGGGAAATGTACTCCAGGGCCCTTTTCTGATATGCTGCAGTTTTGTTACCCTGACTTCGAGTACGCACGTGATGGCACAGGGTTCTTGTCTTCCTCTATTAGCTTGTTTTCCTCGCGATGGCAAACTGTGAAGGCACAACCACCATTGCGGATGCGCTTTTGCAGTTTGCTCTTATTTCATTCATTAGAGTCTAGAGACATAATTACTTTGGGCCTCTGAAACTTTTGGTCCATGTTCCAAATTCGGGCATGAAGCCTCCAAAAGATCTTTGGGGACTTGCTTTTCGATTTCGTCTCGACTTTGTGAAACTGAAATTCAGAGCCATCACTTCCATGATGCAGGATTTCCTGCAGGCGAAATGAAATATCAAACCCGATGTAGGAAATGGTTTTGAGGATATGGTCTTTCTTTTGTACTTCAAAAGTAACTCACTTTCGGATTTGTTTGGAGGAAGGTGGGGCTGGGCCTTGGGGGATGTGGACGAAATTCCAATCAAAGAAAAAGGCAATGAACGTTTACTGGCTGGCAGAAATAGAATCTGAAAAAGTTTGCAAAGTAACTCAGACCCCTTTTTCTTTGCTCAGATGGAAAAACAATGGTGAGAATGGTAGCAGTAATTATTTAATTTTGTAATAAAAACAATACTAATAACAGCAATGAAAATTATGCTAATAATTATGTATCCAAAAGTGCCTACAGAATAATAGAAACTGGCCATGGGACAAGTCACAAGTGGAGGTTGAGTCTTAAGTCATTGTGGGTCAGAGAAAAAAAGTTCTGCTCAGTCTTGGATTTTGAGTCCATTTGAGTTAGATTCCTCGACTACATGGCTTCTTAAGATTGGATTTGGGATTTCCAAACTGACCTCTGTACTGAATTTCTCTTTAATTTAAATTCACAAATCAGTTTTTATTCATAATATATGACAAATCACATGACACACTAGTGGTTATAGAAGCTAACGAGGCAACTTCGCAATAGCAAGGAAATGTTATTTTCAGATTCGAGTTTCATCAATCTAATTTGTTTTAGTTTATTTATTTGCTTGATTTATTAATAATTTACTTTACCGTGATAATATTTGATGTATAATAATTTGTGAGTAGTAACTAAGATACTAAGCGGTGTTTAGGGAGTAAAGTATAAATTTTTGAAGAGGCAACTTTATATTTAAAATTTTGAAAGTTCTAACTTCAATTTTCGATTGTTGAATGTGGAAAATGATATTCTCGAATCAAAAGAGTTGCCTTACACTTGTAATCTAAATCCTAATAAGAGTTAATATTATCTCATAAAACAAACAAAATAACATAATTGCTCCAACCACTTCCACCTAGAGTTGGGTATACTATCTCTTCCATAATTAATACTCAATTATCTATTCCCTATCATAATTAGTTCTTCTTTTATAGGATTGCCTAACATTATTTATTATTAATGTATTATTGAATTTGCATGCTTTTTATGATGTCTCAAAATTATATCTTTTATTTTCTTTTGGGAAATTACAATCTTTACTTCTTTTAAATATTTCACGAAAATTCGCAAAATTAAAAACGATAAATATGCCCCTCAAGAAAAGACCTTAAGGTGGTATTCGAAAAACTAAAAAAAATCGCGGGGTAGAAAGTATAATTTCATTAAAATGAAAAGAACATCACGTGAGATGAGCATGAATCTCCCCTCGGAAAGATATAAGGGCAATTTGGGCATTTAAATTAACCAAGATGAGTATTTCTAGATGACTTGGCCTTGTGTTTTTCTGTTTCGATATTTCCAGACGCGAGTTTTTAAAAACCCTAATTTCACATTTCTCTCTATATTTCTTCCCCCATTTATTTTGCAAAATCCGAAAAAAAATCCCCGAAATGAAAAACAAAAAATCATAAGGCTCGTTTGTATTTTGCCATTTTGTTATTTTCTTTTAATTTTGTGTTTTTACGTCTCACTTTTTCCGTTGTTTTAGATAACTTTGTCTTTGTTGAAAGCTAGGGTTTGCTCTAATGGTGGGTTTTGTGTGTTGAAATTAGGGCATTTTCAGATAAAACTTTCACTTCTTTCCCCTTTAAAGAAAGTGTGGCCTTTCGTGGCTTCCCAAATATATAATCCTGTGAGTAATCTCTCTCTTTGTCTCTGCGAGCATTTTTTATGGGCATTATTGGAATTTTTTTGGTTTATGATTGATATTTGGATTGACTGTTTCTTTTCATTAGTTTCTCGACGAGGCAGTGTTTCTTTTCATTAGTTTCTCGATGAGGCAGCATTTTATGTTCGTTGTTAAAGAGATTTTTAATTTTTGAAACTAGGTTATGGGAAGTTTGGGCTGGAAAATGGTTATTTTAGTGTGTTTTATGTTTTAATTTTGTTGGCTATTGGGGCATTATGCAATCAAGAAATTTGATGTGTCTTTTATTTATAAGTAAAAAAAATTACCGTGAATTTATTTTTTTTAAAGAAGTAAGATCGTTTTGACGTCTTGAATTAATGTTTGTAACAAATATTACCATTTGAATGGGTTTATCCTATGTGATATCACATTTTTACGAATGATTGGAGAAAAGACATTTTGTCGAGGCAAATTATAAAAATGTTCGTTCGTTTATGGTTAATGTAATGGTTTTGGTTTTTTTTTTTTTCACATTGTCCATGAGGTTTTGCAACTCTTTAGGTTTCATTT